CTCTGTTACCTACAAGCAGTGCTACCTCTGGAACACCCCCTTAACCTCTCCTCACTTCTCCTCTTCCCACCCCTCACTCTCTCTGTCTCTCTAGCTGGGTTTCTCTATTTCTATCCATTCGGGGCAGCTTGGTGTTTGCTCGTTCGTACGGTGTCACATCGGTCTCTAACATTTTCCAGGGATGCTATAGTTTCCCCGACAATTACGTTCAAACCTACTCTCCGCTATCGCTTTAAGATCTTTCTATTCCAACGTGCAAGCTATCACGCGTGTGACATCAAAGGATACAATATAGAGAAGACCTTATAGGTGGGTGGGTGGATGGATAGATTTGTGTGTGCGTATGTGTATATGTTTGATTCGAGATTTGACCGGATTTTTGACATTTTCATTTATATTGAGGAAACTCGAATTTTTCTATTTTTTTATATTTTTTCTCTTTCTCCTCTTTATTTATTTATTTCTTTATTATTATCATCGATTTATTTTCCCTTCTACTCCTAGCAAAATCTTTTCTCGATAGGGGGAAAAAAAATGTACAGAAAAGAACACGATAAGAGATAATAAATAAAATGAAACGTAGGAAAGAGAGAGAGAGAGAGAGAGAGAGAGAGAGAGAGAGAGAGATAGGGAATATTTGAATAAAATGATAACGCATTAATTTTTCCCCTCTTTTTTTTTTTTTCTACTACTTTTCTTTTTTTTTCATTTTATGTTTTTATATATATATATATCCTATATACCTAAATCTAAAAATAATCTATTAAAAATTATAAAACGAAGAGGAAAAATATCCATATAATAGATAACTTTGGAACAAAGCTATAATTGGGTACGAAATAAAAAAAGCAAACGACATATAACTGTAAGGTAAAAGGGGTTTTAATAAAAAGAAAAAAAAAAAAAAAAAATAAAATAAAAAGGAAAAAAAAAATGGAGGGATAATATAACGGGGATAAAAGTAAACAACAAAAGTGAATATCTAGATTAAATTCAAAAAGTATTCCCGTTTAATTTTTGTATAGAGAAAAATTTTGGTATCCTCGGTTCTATTATCACCGTCGTGCCGTTAACCTTTCTGAACTCATATATACAACTTCCCCCTTATCCCACCCCCCGAACCTTTACCATACACACAAACGCACACACGTATAAACATACTCTCGTACATACCATTCGCACTCTTCTTATCTCCAGCTTTGTGTGCTTTGTGAGAAACGTATATCGCGCGACATTACTATGAAATAAAAAAGAAAGAGGGGGGTGACAGAAAGAAGGAAAAAGAGAGGACGAGAGAGAGAGAGAGAGAGAGAGAGAGAGAGAGAGAGAGAGAGAGAGAGAGAAAAAGAAAGAAAGAAAGCTCTCGAATAGCACCGAGTTTATACGCGGACAAAGCGTTCCAAACCGAATTTTTATTTCATTTTTCTTTTTCTTTTTTTTTTTTTTTGTCACTGCACTTCGCGCAGTCGCTTTAAAAGCTATTGCACGAAAACTCGCGATTTTCAGGGAACGGTTTTTTCTCTCTCTCTCTCTCTCTCTTTCTACCAACTCAACCACCCACCCACCCACCCACCCTCTCTCTCTCTTCTCATCTTTAGTGCTCTTTGGAAAAACAAAAAAAAAAAAAGAAAAGAAAAGAATGAAGGAATGAGAAGAAAGAAAGAAAGAAAGAAAGGAAGAAATAGAGACGTGGAAGGGGGTGGGTGGGAATGGGGGTATAAAGAAAAAAAAAAGGAAAGGAAGAAGATAAAAAATATTTACACCGAGCCCAGACTTTTCTCACGACACGACGACGACTGTCGAAAAATATTTTTCAATCTTTCTTTTTTTCATACTACTACTACTATTACTACTGCTATTATTATTATTATTATTATTATTATTATTATTACTACAACTACTACTGCTGTTCCTACTATTACTGTGTGTGTGTTCACTACATTTTATTCGAGAACCGGGGCTTAAATTTTTATACGCATCGAGAAAGTGTAAGGGAGAAAGGGTGGGGGGCTAGGGGGAAAGGGAAAAAATTCGTTTACAGCGTCGTGAATTTTAAGACCTTGTTTATCGCTATGCACCCCCTTCTCCTCCACACACACACATGCATACATGCACGTGCACAGTTTTATTGAAACGACTTTTTTCTCTGTTTTTTTTTTTTCTTTTTTATATTTTATTTTATTTCATTTTATTTTATTTTATAAAAGGGTTTACCGATCGACCGTATTTTTTAATATCAACCATACTCTATCTCTCACTCTTTCTTTTTTCTTTGAGTTTATAAATGCACAGATATATATATATATATATGAAAGAAATAAAAATTGTTGCTAACGATTTTTTTTTTTTTTTTTTTTTAAATAGAAACCCATTGTTTTGGGAGAATCGTCGTTGATGCATTCTCCCTTTCCTCTTTTCTTTTTTTTTTTTTTTTTTTTAAATCGAATAGGAGAAGGTACTTGTTTATACGAATAGTATTTGTATTTAAACGTATGACGTGAATTTCAAACAGGACACTCGATCGTCTATATCAATGTGTGACTTTTTTTTCCTTTTTTTTTTTTTTTTCTACGTGTCGAATCGTTTCAAAAGAAAAATGAGAGAGAGAAAGAGAGGGAGAGAGAGAGAGAAAGATGATATTTCATTCGGAGCATTCAATTTCCGGTGAGGTTCTTTGACACTTGGTATCCATCCTCCCCCCCGTTAGAACGAACCTTAAACCAAAATTCTATCACGAAAAGTCAACTCAATTTTTTTTTTTTTTTTTTTACTAACGTTCTCCTCCTTTTTCTTTTTTTAATTATTTTTTGCTACTATATATTTCGTAATTATAGAAATTTAATGGAAAAAAATTCAATATAGGGGATCGATTATATACAATTTATATTTTAATTATAATAATTATAATATATAAATAAATAACAAATGTGTGCGCGTGTTGGATAAAGAAAAGAAAAAGAAAAAAACGGAAGGAAAGGGTTAATTCCTATTTCGTTTTTGTTTTGTTTTTATTTTCCTTTTGCAATTGGAAGAAAAACTATAAGAATTAGAAGAAAGAAAAAAAGAGTCACCCCCTGGCTCCTCCTGGAGTATGGACCAACACCAACCACCACCACCACCATCACCCCCGTTTCGTAAATACTTTGGACCACCTTAATGCCGCACTTTAATATAAGTAAGCTCGAGTTAAGCTTCTTACCGATGACGATACGATTAGTACGGTTCACCGAGTTAATTGCCTTCGTCGTTGACGGGGGATGAAATCGGAATGAGAGAAGGGCTGGTAGAAGAAGAGAATGAGGGGGGAACAGAATGAACTGAGGAGGTAATCGAAGAAGAGGGGGTGGGTGGAAAGGTGCTGATGGTAGGAAACAAGAATACGAACTTATCTATTATTATCTATCGTTCAAAATTAGATGCTATCATTTTTCTTTAATTTGTTTTATCCCAAAACATTTTTTCTTATCTTCCCTCTCCCTTATTAATTTCCCATAAGATTGGACAAGAATCTCTTTTTTTTTTTTTTTGGTTTTTCTTTCCACGTTGTTGCACGCGTAGATAAAAAAAAAAAAAA